TAAAAGGGGGCTAAATTTTTAAAATGTGTTTTTCTACATCAGTTGAGATGATCATATTTTTCTTCATTCTGTTAATGTGATGCATATAATTGATTGATTTTTGTGTATTGAACCAAGAAATGTATTCTTATATAATATATATTTTCTTTGTATAAGAAATATTTATATTTTTTATATAATACATTTATTCTACTGGGCATGGTAGCTCATGCCTATAATCCCAGCTACTTGAGAAACTGAGACAGGAGGACTGCTTGAGACCAAGAGTTCAAGAAATATATTCTGCGGATGATGAATTACTTAATGGGTACAATGAACATTATTCAAGTTATATTTAATAGATACACTAAAAGCCCTAAGTTCACCACTATGCAATATATTCATGTACCAAAATTACATTCATATACCCTGAATTTATGCAAATAAAAAAGACACATTTTTATATATATTCTCGAATTCAGGAAAAAATCCTACTTGGTCATACTGTATAATTCTTTTAATATGCTGTGGAATCTGGCTTTCTGGTATTTTCTTGAGAAGATTTACATCAATATTCATAATAGATATTAGTCTATAGTTTTCTCTTTATGTAGTGTCTTTGTCTGTATTATCAGGGTAATGCAGACCTCACAAAATGAGTTAAGAAGTATTTCCTCCGCTTCAATTTTTTTGGGAGAGTTTGATAAATATTGATTTTCCTTAAATGTGTTGTAGAAACCAATAAAACCATTAGCTATAGGACTTTTCTTTGTTAGGAGGCTGTTAATTATTGATTCAATGTCCTTACTAGTGAACATTTCTTTCTTTCTTCTTATTTTCTATTTCTTCATGATTTATTCTTGGTAGTTTGTATTTCTTGGAATTTTTTTCATTTAACTGAGTTTAGCCAATTTTTTGGGATATACTTGTTCACAATACTATCTTATAATCATTCTGTTTCTCTAAAATCAGTAGTAATATTCCCTCTTTCATTTCTAAATTTAGTTATTTGAGTTGTCTCTTTTTCTCTTAGTTATTTTGCCTAAAGGTTTGCCAATTTTGTTGATCTTTTCAAAAAACCTATTCTTGGTTGCATTGATTTTCTTTATTGTTTTTCTATTCTTTATTTTATTTGTTATTGCCATAATCTTTATTATTTCCTCCCATCTGCTAGCTTTGTGTTTAGTTTGTTCTAAACAAATGCTTCTAATTCCTGAAGGTATAAACTTAAGTTACTGACTTGAGACCTCCCTTTTTAATGTAAACAATTATAGCTATAAATGTCCCTTTTATCTTTGCACTGCTTTTGCTACAATCCATAAGTTTTGGAATTAAGTGTTTTGTTTTCATTTGTCTCAAGATATTTTCTAATTTCTTTTGTGATTTCTTTTTAGCTCTTTAATTGTTTAAGAGGATGTTTAATTTCCACATATTTCCAAATTTGCATTTTCTTTCTGGTGTTGATTTTCTCATTCCATTCCCTAGTGACAAGAGAACATTAATTTATGGTATCAGTCTTTTTTAAATTATTAAAACTTGTTTTGTGATATGCCATGTGGTCTATTCTGGAGAATATAATATGAGCACTTAAGAAAATTATGTATTCTGCTGTTGTTGGGCAGAGTGTTTTGTACCTCTGTTATGTCCAGTTGATCTATAATATCGTTCAAGTCCTCTATTTCCTCATTGATCTTCTGTCTGGTTATTTTATACACTATTGAAAGTGGGATATTTAAGTATCATATTAATATTTTAGAGCTATCTCTTTCTCCTTTCAAGTCTACCAATGCTTACTTCATACATATTGGAGTGCTGGTGTTTAGTGCATGTATGTTTATACTTGTTATGTCTTCTTGACAAATGACCCTTTTGCCATTTTGTAATGTTCTTTGTCTCTTATAAGAGTTATTTAACTGAAATCTATTTTGTCTGATAGTATAGTCACCCCTGCTCTCTTAGTTAGTATTTCAGTGGATTATTTTCTTCATCTTTTCACTTTCATCCTATGCAGATCCTTAGATCTAAAGTAAATTTCTAGATGACATTTTGTTGGATCCTGGGTTTTTTTCCCTTAGATTCTGCCAATCTCTATATACCTTTTGAGTGTGGAGTTGAATCAGTTTAATTCAACATAATTTTCTGAAAAGGAAGCACTTAGTATTTTAATTTTGTTATTTGTTTTCTTTATGCTTTAAAACATTTCCCCCTTCATTCCTTCATTAGTGCCCTCCTTTGTGCTTATTTGATTTTTTGTAGCGGCATGCTTTGATTGCCTTCCAATTTATTTTTGTGTATATTCTATAGGTATTTTCTTTATGATTTCCATGGAGCTTAAATATAACATCTTAAGATTATAACAATCTAAATTGATAACACCTTAATTTCAATTGCATGCAAAAACTCAACTCCCTACAGTGCTACACCCCCCACGTTATGTTATGTTATTTGTCACGAAAACTAAAGTTTTATGTATTCTGTAGTCAGTAACATAGATTTCTAATTATTTATACTTTTTTATTTTATTACTTTATTTAATTCTGCCTGTGGAAAATAAAAAATGGAATTATAAGCCAAATTAAAATAATATTCATTTTTATATTTATCGTTATATTTACCTGTATCAAAGAATTTTATACATTCATATATGTGAAGTTACTGTTTATCATTCTTTCCTATCAACTCAAAGGATCACTTTTAACATTTCTTGTAGGGTAGTTGTAATGGTAATAAGCTTTTTTTTATCTGGAAATGTCTTAATTTCTTCATCACTTTTGATGAACCATTTTTTGGATATAGAATTTTTGGTTGACAGTTTTCTTTTCTAAGCATATTACATATATCATTGCACTATCTTCTGCCTCTGATGGTTTCTGCTAAAAAATTTACTGATAATTTTATTGAGAATCTCTTTTACCTGATGGTTCACTTTTCTCTTGCTGCTTTCAAGAGTCTCTCTTTGTCTTTGACTTTTGGCAGTTTATTGTAATGTGGCTCAATGTAGGTCTCTTTCAGTTTATTATACTTGGAGTTCATATATATATATATATTGGATTTCTATATACATATCTATACACATACATACGTACACGTATCTATATCTATATACATATGCATATCTGCTTAAATTTAGGACTTTTTAGCCATTATTTCTTCAAATCAATTTTCTGCCCTTTTTTCTCTTTCTATTTTCCTTCTGAAAACTCACATAATGCATATATTTGTCTTCTTGATAGTGCCTAATATATTTCTTAGCTTCTGTTCACTTTTTCACATTCTTTTCTCTTCTCAGACTCAATAAATTCCAATGACCTATCTTCAAGTTCATCGATTTTTTTTCCCTCTGCCAGTTTAGTCTACTGTTGACCTTTTCTAGTATATTTTTAAATACAGTTATTGTACTTTTCAGCTCCAGGATTTCTGTTTGATTTCTTTTTAATTTCTATTTCTTTATTGATATTCTCCTTTTGTTTGTCTATCATTTTCCTGATCCCTTTGCTTCTTTGCGTTTTCCCTTAGTGCTTAGAAAAGATGATTTAAAATCTTTGTTAAGCAAGTCAGATACTGTTTCTTTAGGATGGTTTCTGGATATTTATTTTGTGTCTTTAAATAAGCCAAGTTTTCCTGTTTCTTTGTATACCTTGTGATCATGTGTTAAAAATTGGTCATTTAAAAAAAATACAGCCACCTTTATAAGTCTTTATATACTGGGTCCATGAAATGAAAGACCTTCACTAATTAGCAAGGCAAGTTTTAAACCTTGAGATCAGCCTGAGGTAAAGGCTTAAATTCTTCTCAGGCCTTTTCTGGGCATTTATTTTCCTTTGGTGTGTGTGGTAGGGAGGGTGGATTTTTAAAAATTTTTTTCTGTATACATGTCTGTGTATAGGTGTCTTCATTTCCCAAATAGTCTCATCCCAGCTGCTTCTCAGGGACTTACATGTTCTATTTTATTTGTCTGTCTGTAATATCTTGCCCTAGGCATCGATGGGTTTGCATTCCTCCTAAAGCTTTAACTTCTGTGCCACTACCTTCTGTAGCTTTTCCCAACCTGAAATCTAAGCTATGACACTACTCCCTGTCTGTGTTCTTTGTCAGGCAACACAGATATCAAGTCTTTAGGCAGCCCACAGGCAGCTTAGAATATTGTGGATGAGGTCTGCTGCACTCCCTCCACCTGAGGAAAGGAGCCAGAAACTGGGCTACTCTCAACTCCATTGTTGCAGGGAAGGAGTGGGGAAAGAGGAAGTAAAAATGCCATGAAATTGCTTACCATTTTAAGTGTGGTGTTTTTTCCTAATGGATGTTTACTTGGTTTCTGTAGCTATTTGATGGTTTTCCAGAGCCCTTATAAAGTAATTTTAGCCAGTCTTTAATTGCATTCTTAATGTTTCCATGGGAAATGAGGGCTTAGAGCTGACTAGTCTGCCATCTTGCTGATGTCGCTCTCTCCCTCTAAGTGATTTGTTCTCCCATTCTTGTGGAAGACTAGTTCACACATCTTCTTCCTTCAGATTTTCCATGCTTTTCCATGCTTCACTAATCATAACAAACAGTTCACAGACCAGAACAAGTTTGAGGACAATATTCTGAGTAGAACTGCTGTGGAGTATCTCTCTCTCTCTCTCTCTCTCTCTCTCTCTCTCTATTGCACATAATTTATTTGTCTATATTTTGTATGTATATGTATATATACACAACTTATTTGTGTGTGTGTGTGTATACACACACATACTTGTATGTATATGTATGTACATATCCATCAATAGAATAAGATGTAACAATATCACATAAATGCAAAAGCATGGCATATCAATAAAGAGTTTAGGTATCCTGTCTTATGAGGTAGGCTGTGTGCTATGGTCTGAATGTTTACGTCACCCCCAAATTTATATGTGAAGTCATAACCCCCATGCTTATGGTTTTAGGAGGAGAGGCCTTTGGGAGATGATTAGGTCATGAGAGTGGAAGCTTCATAAATGAAATTTATAGCCTTATAAAAGAGACTCCAAAGAGACCCTCACCTATTTTACCACATGAGGACATCCAAGAAGACCTACATCCATGATCCAGAAACAGGCCTTCACCAGACACCAAACCTGCTGGTATGCTGACCTTGGACTTCCCAATATCAAAAACTGTGAGAAATAAATTTCTGTGCCACTGTATGGCATTTTGTTATAGCAACCTGAATAGACAAAGACATTATGACATCATAACATACAACTTGCTGCATTTTGTATCTCATTCCACTAAACAAGAGGAATAACACTTGGTTGTCCTGTTTTGATATTGGAGGTGAAATACTTTATTTTGGAATATTGGGTCCCAGTATTGTTGAATCATGCATAGGCTACCACAGAGGGTTTTTTAGTAGGTTCAGAGTGCAGTACCTACTGTTCTGCCCCCTGGGCCACATAATTCAGGTGCTAGAGGGTATGTGTTGGGTAAGAATGTATGAAATTTTTGGCAAACTCCAATAGAAGTCACAGGGAAGACACTAAAGTTTCTGGAGCAACATCATGACTTCTGTATCAGAGAATGACATTCCACTTGAAAAATAGCTTATAATGAGATACTGGGGCGCGGTTGAGATTGAACACCTAATCACAGAAAACCAAATGGCCATAGCCTGCAATGGCAGAGGGACAAGAGTGCTAACCCAAACACAGAGGCACATTATAAAAATTTCTTAAGTGATATTTGCCAACATCCCATTAGCCAAAGAAAGTCACAACCCTAACCTAAAGTCAATGGGCAGGTAAGTGCATTCTGCCCACTCTGAAGCAAAACAAGTTACATAACCAAGTTAAACATTAATGGGATTGGGAAATATAATACTCCCATGGAAGTGGGTGTAAGAGTGAATATTTTTGAACAATAATATAATCTGTCACAACCACCAAATTATAAAGTTAGACAGACTGAGCAGAAGTCCATCACTGATGGTACATTTTGAACCACACTCAAACAGATCTAGGAAGCACAAATATATTACCTGAACAGATGTTACCTACATTTGATATCCTACCTCTGTTTCCTCAACCCACACTTACAACCTCACTGTGGTCTGAGAAGATTCCTATGACCAACTGATAGAAGAGGAAAGGAACTGGCCTGATGTGTCAGTGTGAAACACACTACCAGGAAATGGACCCCTGTGGTCTCAATGGCATGGTGAACAGGAGTAAAGGGAAATCCCCTTGGGGTTGAGCTGGTCACCCAGCTAGCAAAGAGGGAGAGGTAGCCAGCAGAAAAAATCTAGATCGACTCCTGAACAATTGGGTTGGCTGATTAGTCAGAGGCTTGAAAAGAATAAGACTAGAAGATTACAAATAAGGTGATCTGAAAAAGAAATGCATGGATGGACTTCTGCCAGTGAGCATGGAGTGTTTCTTTTCTTTTTGCTTTATATCAATGCTCAGTAGAGAGCACCCATTGTGGAGTAGCTGCTGGCTAACCAGATGGGGAGGATAATCTCTCCGGTGGATATCAACCATCCTCTTTCTTTGGCCACTGTGATGCATGCCCCGTGGGCCATGGTGGCAGAGATGGGGGCTGTACATTGATCCAGCAATATGAGCTTGTCTTCACTAAGGCCTCTGTAGCTAATACTTCTGGCAGCAGCAGAAATGGACATGTGACACCACTTCTTGGGGGACCTACCAGCCATTTGGCAGAGATGGAATCCATTGGAATATCTCAATTTCAGAGGGGCATAAATTCACCTTTATTGGAATAGATATAAATATGTATATGTGTCTCCATCTTCACTGTCATCCAGGGCTTACAGAATAGCTCATCCAGAAACCAGTACCGTACAGCAGTGCTTCCTATCAAAGGGCACATTTAACAGCAAAAGAGATCTGAAAGTTGTTTCATGATGACGAACTTCACTAGTCTTATCTGTCCTGTCACCAGAAGCAGCTGCCCTGAAATAACAGTAGAACAGTTAGCCCGAGGAAGGCTCAGCTAAGGTGTCAGCACCATGGCTGCTGTCCTCCAGGATTTGGTTTATGTCGGATCAACCACTGAAGTATGGTTCTGTATCTCCAATAGCTAAAATATATGGACACAGGAAATAGGAGTTAGAAACGGGAATGACTTCTCTCCTGTGGTCCAATTGCAGAGTTTCTGCATTCTGCCTCTTCTGCCTCTTCAACTTGAGCCATGCTGCAATAGAAGTCCTAGATCATGGCTTGTGGAATATTGGAGAGTTTTTCCAAGGAATATATTAAATGTTATACTGAACAAGGTGCATCTGTTACCTTGTTAATTTGAGCTTCTTGTGTAAGTGGATAAACAGGACAAAAAGAGGTTAATTGGAGTTGTTTACATGAGGAGCTAGAATTGATACTACATAATAAGGTAAATGAGTGTAGTTACTTCATTATAGTATCTTTTAGAGCTACCATGTTGATAACCACTGTCAGTGGCCAATTACAGCAAACACACCCCAACAAGTGTAGGGAAAGTAATGGCGTAGATCCCTGCAGGAGAAGAGTCTGGATCACCCTACCAGATATTCAACCCTGGCCAGTGTAATAGCTGTCCAAGAGTGAGGGAAATCTAGGACTGCTGGAAGAGGAGGGAGATGATGGAAAGCAACTGTAAGCTTGAGACCAGCTGCAGCAGTGGGTCCTCCACTTTTTAACCTTCACCCTATTTTTTCAAGTCTTCCAGGAGTTCATGGCTGGATAAAACCTTAAAGGAGACTCTGTAAGTGCTTGCACTTGTACCCCAACTCTTTATCTCTGGGGAAGGCACAGAAGTGTCATTTTCTGACAACATACATATGCACACATGCCTGCCCAAAGAAAGTCCTATATTGTAGGAAGGAAGCAGAACATAATGGGCAGACACATTGTCCACCTCTCTTACTCCTCTGCTGCCAAGCCTTACTCCTCAGCCACTGCCACACAGCTCTCGTCTTGGAGTTTGTAGATCCTTCTGTTGCTTCCAAATTTTGATCAAACACAACACTGCATGACATAGCATCTCACACCCCAAGTGGCCATTAAAGGGATGAGAAGATGCAACTCAGGAGTACAGGAGACTTTATGTTGTTCAGCAAACTGCCAGCAGGAAAGAGGAGATGGAATGGAGTTGAGAAAATAATTTCCCCTCATTTCTGTCTGCCATGGGCTGTTCCAAGGCATATTCCGGGTGCATATCATCTGAAGAAGACTCATGTGTTGGGCAGCAGCAAATGCTGAGAGACCTGCTTTATTTTTCTCTCCTGTACCCACTGTGAAGCAGTAGCCAATAAGGTAAAGCACCATATTATTTTGTTTTTTAAATCTTTTATTTTTATACTTTACTTTCTTTTCATCTTTGCTATCTTGTGTCTGTACCAACCAAATGAAGCATCAGCAGGCTATGTTTGCCAAAGAATCATGGCTAGGTGATGATGAGTCTTCATCTATAGATATGTGTTCTGACTTCCCCCATATCCCTACAAATGCATTGCCCCTGTTTCTGTTTTTAGGTAACCCTCCTTGCCTAGTAAAATCATCCCCTTTTGCCCACTTTGGCTCAAGTCTTGTATTATGGTTATTTCCACTCTCTCCTGCACTGTATTTTCCTCTTTACTGGATCATGCCCAGCAGAGCACAAACATGCTACATCTCCCATATTTAAAAATCTACCCCCTGTCCTCACTACCTCCTCTGGCTACTACTCATTTCTCAGATATCTTTTATAGCAAAATTTCCTTAAGTAATACTATTGTCTCTGATTTTTCTTCATCTATTATTTCCTTCATACATGCCTGGATTTTGTCCTCACCATTTCACTCATTAAAATTGTACATGTCAATGTCCTCCCTCTCAAAAAATCATTTCCCTCCTAAATGCATCAGTCAAGTCTCCATCCTAAAATCGTTACACCTTTTGGCAGCATTTGATGCGGCTGATCACAGCCTTTCGAAGCACATTCTTCATTTGGATTCTGAGATGCCACTTTTCCTTTCCCTTCCTGCCTTAGCGGCAACTCATCTTCATTTTCCCTTGCTTGATTAACCTCTTGTTCCTCACATATAAATGTTGGATTTCAGACCTTTGTCTCCGCTGCCTATAATTTCTTCTTAGGTAATTTTTTTTTTCAGACCTTGGCTTTTAACTACATCTACATCTTGATGGCTGCCGCATTTTTTTCTCTAGCTCCAATCTCTCCCCTCAGCTCTACCCCACATATTCAACTGTCTACTCAACACATGAATGTCTGAGAGAAACATGAATCATACACGCATGTGGACACATGCGTGTACATGCACATGCACACACAGGCATGTGCATGTGCACACGTGCACACGTGCACATATCCTCTGCTTACTTCCAGTACAGTGCACTGTCCTTCCTGCAGTGGCTCTTGAAGGAAACATAGGGGGCATAAGCAATTACTCCTTCTCTGTCATACTCTACTATCGACACGTCAGCAAATTCCATTAGCATTCTTAAAAAATAAATCCTAGATCCAAGTGTTTCTCGCAGTCTCCACCGAGAGTACCTAAGAGAAGCCACCAAAATGTCTAGTCAGTGTGACTGCAATCATTTTCTATTTTTTTTTAATTTCAGCATATTATGGGGGTATACATGTTTAGGTTACATATATTGCTTTTGTATAGTCACCCAACTCAGAGCTTCAAGCGTGTCCATCCCTGAGACGGTGCTTACCACACCCATTAGGTGTGAATGTACCTATCCCCTCCTCCCCCCACCTGCCCGACAGCCAATAAATGTTTCTACTGTATGTGCTGCACTGCCATCATTCTCTAACAGCCCTCTCTTCCCCCACTCTTTCTCTTCCTTTCTCTTTCTTTTCTTTTCTTTTCTTTTTTCTTTTCTTTTCTTTCTTTTCTTTTGTTTCTTTTCTTTTCTTTCTTTTTCTCTCTCCCTCTCTCCCTCTCTTTCTTTCTTTCTTTCTTTCTTTCTTTCTTTCTTTCTTTCTTTCTTTCTTCCCTTCTATTCCTTTCTTCCTTTCTCTTCTTCTTTCTCACATTTTTCTTCTTTCTTCTTCTTTCTCCTTCTTTCTTTTCCTTTCTTTTTTTTTTTTTAGACCAGAGTCTCCTTTGTTGCCGGCTAGAGGAGTGCCGCTGCGTCAAAGCCTAGCTCACGAGCACCCTCAAACTCCTGGGCGAGTGATCCTTCTGCCTCAGCCTCACCGGGTAAGCTGGGATACAGGCAGCGCCCCATGCCGGCTAATTTTTTATATATATATATCAGTCTGGCCATTATTTCTTTTCTATTTTATAGTAGGAAGACGGGTCTGGCTCTGTCAGGCTGGGTTTTGAACTCCTGAACCTTCGAGCAATCCGCCCGCTCGCGTCCCAAGAGCTAGATAAGGCGTGAGCCACAGCGCCGCCCTCTTTCTTTCTTTCTCTTCTTCTTCTTTCTTTCTTCTTCTTCTTTCTTTCTCTTTTTTCTTTTCTTTTTTCTCTTTCTTTCTCTCACTTTCTCTTCCTTTCTTCTTCTATTCTTTCTTTCTTATTTCTTTCCTCTCTCTCTTTTCTTCTTTCCTCTTTTCTTTCTTTCTCCTTTACAATCAATTCTTTACATAGTAGCCAGCCATTTTTCTTCAAAAATATAAATTAGATTATCTTATTTCTAGTTCACAAGCTTTTGGCAATTTCCTAACCCACTTAGGAAAATCAATCAAACAATCAATCAATCAACCAATCAAAAGTTCTTACCAGGCTTATAAGGTCCTGCACAACCAGGCCTTTGGTACCTTTGTCATTTAATCTCCCAATTCTCTGTCCCACAACTTGAGCTTGACTCCTTTGAGATTTCTCCAGCACCCAAGTGTATGCCTACCTCAGGATCTTTGCACTTGCTGTTTTGGCTGTCAGGAATTATCTTTTGTAAGATGGTTGAGGCTTGCTCCTTTGCAACATCCAGACCTCTGTGCAGTCATCGCCAACTGACAACAAATGACATACTTACTTAAATATTTTCTGTCTCTCCCAACTCCCTAGAGGAGGAAATCCTTAAGGGTTGGGATAACGTTTTGTTCATCATTGCATCCCCCTAGTACTTAAAAAGAGTAGTTGGTTTGTAGTTAGCATTTAGTAAGTGAATTCCATTATTGAATTAATACAAGACTAAATGAAATGATGTAATTGTTCCTTACCAGTAATGCTCAACAGACATTCATTCTAGATTTATTTATTTATTTAGAGCACCTGTTGTTTTTTGTATACTTATATCTTCTTACCTTAGGAATTTTAGGTTTTTTTTAACCAATTATATATATATATTAGTATATGTGTATATATATTAGTGTATGTATATATGTAATTTATACATTTTACTTTAAATATCACACTGTCGGATTTTTATGTATATTTTAATGTTTTGAATTATGAGTTTATTTTCCCAGGCATTTTCTTCTGTGAGGGTTCTGTGGGCTATGGAAGCATCTGTAAGAGGTGGTTTCCTTGCTGCCTTTGCCAAATTATTAGCAATTGTGTAGGTCCCAGAACAATTTTTTTTAATACAAAAATTTGGATCTTCTATCCTAATGCAGTTCAGACTAAGTTCTCTGATTTCTTGTGGCTGAATCACTTTTTCCTTGTTGTCTAGATGGTGGTATCACTTTCCTGCTTTATTCAGGCCAAGAAGAGAAGGTTTTTTCTAAGTGACCACATTTTGCAGACTCTTAGTTTTATCCAGGAGACATATTTTAGCTGCCCTACACACACAGGACTGGCACAATCTGCAACCCACAGAGGCATGAAGGCCTCTGCAGTTTGTATTCTGCCCATTTTCCATCACCGTGCCTGTGATTTCAGCATCTTCCCTTCACCAGCAGTTGCATCTGTGTCTCCCCAAAATGCAGTTAATCCCTACTTGAATTTCCAAGTTCAACTACCTATTCAAATTATTAAAAAAAAAAAAAAAACTTCATGTGACAGCGTTATAAGTTTGAGGTAGAAGATGGCTTCTCATATTAGTTCAGTATAGTCTTGACTAGAAATCTCTAATTTTATTTAAACACGCCTAATATGGCACCATGGCTAGTGGTTGTTAACATGTTTCCATAATGCCGACAGTGGAGCTGGCAAAAACGTGGCGTGTTGCATGGGACTGTGCCGAGACTCTAAAGACGCAATGAGGAGTGAGAAAAATGTCCAGTTGTCTAAAAAGGAGTAACAGACGGCACATTCGTTTCCTGAGGCTGCCGGAACAAATCACCACAAACGTGTCCATCTGAAGCAACACGCATTTGCTCTCTCCCAGTGATGGCGGCCGGAAGCCAGACGTCCGCATCTCGAGGCTAGAACGACCGTGTCTGCAGGACTGTTCCTTGTGCTCTTGCCCCTTTCAGCTCTGCTGTCTGCTGACACTCCTTGGCTTGTGGCTGCGCCACTTCAGTCTCCTGGCCAGAATCTTCAAACTTCTCTCTGTGCCGCCTTCACACTGCCTCTGTGTCAAATTCCCCTCTGCCTCCCTCTTGTGAGGGTACCTGTGACGGCACTTAGGGCCCACAGTGATGATTCAGGACAATCTCCTCGTCTCAGATTCTTAACTCAGTCGCATCTGCAAACGTCCCCTTGCCACTCCCCGCTTTGGGGCTGGTAAGGGTATTAGGTAAGGTCCGCAGGCCCGTGAGGCTAGGACATGGGTCTCCCTTGGCTAACCAATTTTCAGCCTATCACAGATGGTGATGATGACTTTAAACAAGAAAGTTATCCCTGCCCTCCCAGCACCCGAAAGGAACAACTTTACAGGGAGAAAGCAGGAACAGAACACATGGAAGCTAAGACCAGGACAGCTGATTCGTACAGAGGCAGCGGAGGAAGATACGAATCCGGTCGCAGTGGAGAAGGCACATCAGAGAAATGGCAGCTTTGAGGCGATTCGGTTCCAGGCGGAATTCTTGGGAGAAGATTGAGTACGAGGAAGACGATAGAGCTGCCTTTGACTCCTCCGACTCTTCGTTGCTTGGTGCATTCTCCGCAGCACCGCTTACTCGTGGAATTAACACAGTTAACGCCAGCTATGAATGGCTAATGGGGGAACATCTCTCAAACTTGTTATCTCGTACTTCCCTTCTCCAGTAATTCCAGCAGCATAAAGACCTCGTGGATCCTGAGGAATGGGGTTGTACAGAGATCAATACATTCATTTCAAGATCACCAGGGTCAACCCAAGGTCAATGAAAGCCCCTCTAAATAAACAGAGGCATTTTTCTCAGGAAGAGTATATTTCCCAAAATTAAGGAGGGGGAGGCGAAGACCCTAGCTTACAGGGACCACATAAAAAGAAGGGTGGGGGTGCACAAGTTCAACGAACTAAAAAGGTCATCAGGGTCAAAAAGAAATTATTAATGGTCCCTCATCAAGTCCAAGTTCTAATATAGAACTGTCTTCTCTTCAAAATTAAGCATAACAGGAGATGTTCTCTGAAGACAAAAGAAGTCAGAGAAAAGACAGGGATTTTTCCACAAATGCATGAAGTTACTTGAGATTCAGCATAAAGGTTAAGCAGTCTAGCTTTTAGACGTGAGGATCCAAAAAATTGATCCCCTTTCTCTGTCAGTAGGAAAAATAGCGGGGAGTTGGGTGGTCTAGGACTTGAATCCAAAGGGTGGTGGACAAGCCCATCCTTCCAACTCTTCAACATGGTCTCTGAACACATCCTACCACCCACAGGGCCTTAAGGCAGCTTGTCTTCTTAAACCCAAATACACCCTGCAAGAGCAAACACACTGATCATTTACAGACCTCAGTGTGAATACCTGCAATAAATTAATCCCTTTGCCTCCTCTGTGCTGGAGTTCTCAGGCTGAAGTAAAAACTTTTGCTTGGAGCATGAGTGAGAAGTTCAGAGAACAGCTAGAGGCAATTTGGGATGCAGAGCACCCAAGAGAATGGAGAAGGAAAATCTAAGTAGAGAGCAGAGCGGTGGGCTTCGGCCAGCCTCAGCGAGGGAGAGGGAAGCAGCGTTTATTTTTCATTATGTACCAAGCACGTTCACAGAAGTTATCTCATGTAAGTTTTCTCAACAACCCTGTGGATGGCAAGGCTATCACATTTTACAAATGTAAAAGAGCACCTTAGGGAGACAGTAAATGTTTAGAGTCACAGGTGGGGCAAGAAGTGCCACCTGCGTGTTTCTTTGACTTACATCCATTGTCAGAAGCCTTCGGGGGGTGGGGGGGGCGGCGGATGCTGAGGGGCAGGCTTGGAAACAACACGAGAGTGTGTGGCCAGGGTTCCTTACCTGCACTCCAGTTGCCTGAGATCTGGGGCAAAGGGGTCAGTTAACATTCTCTTCCTTTGTCCGGCTTCCTCTTCAAGGTGGGATCTGCCACACTGTGTCCATGCCCAGTGTCCTGGTAACTTGACCTTAGCGATATCCTTTTATGTTTAAATGGCCCTGTTCAACTGCCCCTCTGGGCCGCGTGAGGCAGGACCTGCGTCTCGCTGAGTGTGCTTACCCAGTGGCAGCACAGGGCCAGGCGCACAGCCATGGCAGAGACCCCGCAGGCTGTTCAGCGCCCCGTGAGGGAATCGTTCCGAGCAGCGTTTGGATCCAGCCTCCAGTTATAAAGCACCCTCTGCTCAGGCATCATGCCAGGCGCTTGAAGATAATTTTTATTCATTAATTCTCACACCAC